AAAAGAGAAATTTGGATATACAAACGAATGAAATTTCAAAAGGAATCTTATCACGGCTTGCTTTGAGAGAAATTCGGAAGTAAGTGCACTGGTTGTGTGGCTTACTCAAGTCTCTTGACTCCGCTGGAACCTTCCAAGACAGATCCTGTAGAGAATAAGTGAGTCCTAGGATAGCCAGAAGCTGTTGCTACATGGTGGGGGCTTGTGAAGACTATGTCACAGCCGGCTCTCTCATCTTACAGGGGACACACAGGCTCTGATATTCTCAGACATTCTCAGACTTTGACCTCACAGCTCTCTTGGCTTCAACCCACCCATTTCTCACCACTACCACGCTGACATGATTAAGAGATAATTAAAACCTGTGTCCCAAAATGTTAGAAAATGAGAGAGCTGAGGAATGTTAGTATCCGCCCCCCCCCGTGTGGTGTGTGTGTGTGTGTGTGTGTGTGTGTGTGTGTGTGTGTGTGTGTCCACCCCACCTGTACCTGTAGCACTGACCACGCATGTTTGGGTGTGGTCATGGGTGCTTCTTGTGTAACTGCCTTGTCCCCGAATAAACTTCACTTAACCTGTAATGAGTCCAGTGAATCTTGATTCCTACACAATACTCTTTCCCTCTCTCTCTCTCTCTCTCTCTCTCCCCCTCTCTCTCTCCCTCTCTCTCTGTGTGTGTGTGTGATGCTCACTGAGAATTGTGACCTCTGCCCCCTGTTTCTGGATCGTATTTAACTGTGATCGAAACTGAAAATGGGAAAGAATCCCTTTAGAGAGCTCTCTGCAGTTGAGTCCCTGTTTTTTCCAGCCTGGTTTTCTTAAGTCCCCTGGCTGGGCCGCTCATTGGTTCTTCTTATCTTCTTTTTCTGGGAGTTGTATCTCTGCCTTTCCGATACCTCTTTCTCTCCAAAGTGTGTCCTTCTTCTGCTTCTGTATTTTGCCTCTGCTCCCTCATAATGTGCTCAGACAGGGATTTGAATTTCTATGTAAATCTTTATCATTTTCAAATGTTGGGAACCATTCCAACGTGGTTTCTTTATAATGTTTTTCTACAGTCACCTAGATGTCTACAGTATGACTTCTCCCTGATTTTTTTTTTTTAGATCATTTTTGGAGCCAAGGGAAAACATACAACTGCCTTTATTAGCATTGGTGTGTAATTAACAACAGAGCATTTTAATGTAATGCCCCCAGTTTAGCTCAGTTCTAATCATTATGGCTGATATCATTTGGAAGTACAATTGGTTGGGCTGGAGAGGTGGCTTAGCAGTTAAGAGCACTTGCCAACTTTCTTAAGGACCTGGGTTCTGTCCTCCGCATGCACATCAAGTGGCTCAGGACTGCATGCAACTCTGGTATCTGACATCTCTGACCCTGCGTGCACGCACACACACAAAGACACCCCAAAAACGGTACACAAAAAGTCATGCAGGCACACATGCATACACGTAAATAATAACAAATCTTTTTGAAGACTCTATTTTTTTGTTATGTGTGTATGTGTGGGTCTGTGCAAGTGAGTTCAGCTGCCAGTAGAGGCCACACGTGTCCCATCCTTCTGGAGCTACAGTTACAGGAGGTTGGGTGCCTCCCACCGTGGTTATGAGAACCCAAACTTGCTCTGCAAGAGCAATACATGCTCTTCACCAGTGACCCATCTCTGCAGCTCCATAAATCAGTCTTTCTTTTAAAAAATTACTTTCTCATTTATTTCATTAAGATAAATTTCCTAAGAGTAAGTTACTTCTAAATTCTGATTTCCAAATCAAAATTTTCATTTTTAAAAAACAGAATCACCAGAAATTTGGATATGCTTTTAACAATATATGTATACATTCATTCATACATACATAGTTGCTTATTTCATAATGTGTTGAAATAAATAATTTGAAAGTCTTAATAGATTTGTGAATTGTTTGTTTAATTTTGCCATGTTAGGTCTTCTATCTACTGATGAAATTCTCCTTTCAATTAGAAATTTTAATCTTAGTTTGGCAATCTTAAAAATATTGACTGTTATTTATCTTCCACCTTTAAAATCTTCTGAACTATAGTAAGTAATGCTTATAAAAATGTGTGCTACCTCATTGGAGTTAAAGTATCTATCAAAGAATAATGTTCTAAAATTAAACTGGACCTTTTGTTAATAAAGATTAAAGATGCTTAATGTGTAAGAAAGTCTACCTGATGCCATTGTCTCAGGATTTTATAACATACTGAACATTGGTGAGTCATTTGGTTTAAGTTTTTTAAATCCCTGCTGGGGATCCGCTCCAAGGCCTCCTGCATGCTAGACAAAATCATTTTAATTTTTAGGTCAGGGTATTAGAATTTATAACAAACTATAACTGTAGTTTTCTTTGTATAGCCTTTGATCGGGATACTTTCTGCCCCTGTATTTGTTAGGTTTATAGCTGTTGTGGTACACTTCACATCATAATATAAAATCCATTCTAATTAGCGGAAACAAACTGACTTGGAGAAGTATAAAATGTGAACAAAGGGGTCTAGACCCTCATACAGCATGTTTCACGCGTGTGGCTATGGTATCATCTGTGAGCTGAAAGGCAGCTAAACATTAGCATTCTGGTGTCATTGGGATGGAAGTGTTTCATAACGGGCTGTGATGTGAACTCAGTAAGACAGTTGCTGTTGCTGCACGCATATAGAGTGAGTGCTCATCGTCCAGTGTGAAAGGCAGTAGGACCTAATGTTAACACACACCTGAAAAGCCCACCAGGTAAGTATGCACATTGAAATGCAGGGAAACCACAGTGGCTGGGACCACTGTGCAGCAGGAGACCAGCTCTAGTCCTAGGCGCCTCCCGTTTTCTGTCTTTGAAAATGAACCCCTGGATATACTCTGGGCCTCAGGACATGAAAGTAGGCAAAGGCAAATTTAATTTAAGAATTTCTCTACTCCTTATAGAAAACTATATGGAAAAACAGTTCTGTAGTAATGTCATATTCATAGGTGACATTTTCCACTCTGTTTTGGGGGGCCTGAATTTCAGGATTGGCTGGTAATTTTCATCATTTCCTCTTAGGTCATGTGTGGGGTACTTGTATCTGCACGTCAGTGCGTGTTACTATGGTGTGTGTATTTGAGCAGCAAGGAACTAGATGACTTATTTCTTGACTTTTCTCTTTTTTGGAAATATGGTACAGTCTATTAAGATAAATAAATGCCTATTGATTATTACAAAGAATAGAATCCCATCCTGTCTGTTCTGTAAGACAATACTGACAGGGAGCTGAAGAGATGGTTCAGCAATGCTTGTTCTTCCAGAGGACGTGAATCCAGTTCCCTAGCAACCACATCACAACTCACAAACCATCTATAGTGGGATCCAATGCCCTCCTGTGGCATAAGTCATATATACATATAGAGTGTGCATACACACCAAATAAATAAACAAATAAATAAATAAATGCTCATGTTGATAAATGGAGAAGCAGACGATGGTTAATCTTAACATCTGCTAATTGAGAAAATTCATTCTTTATAAATGATTCCAGAACATAGAATATTGAATATCTACATACAGTGCTTGTTATTTTACTAGTAATTAGTTTGTCTTTGAAATATAAAATAATTAAGTTACTAAGCTTGATGTTCTCAAACATACAAATATAATTAGTCATGGTTATTGTTGTAGTATGGTCTTAAACTACTTTTTACATCTAGTCATCTATTTTGTTCTTCATTTTTTAAAAAAACACTGAATTATAATGTGCTTTATAATGAGGATTATGGAATTATAAAGTATACTTGTAAAGTAATTAAAACAGTTGGTTTGGGAAGAAGTCAGTGAGCAAACACTATCTTTAAGACACAAATCAAAATTTTAAGATAAAAGTGCTTCTTAGTGTCTCCACTTTGTGCTAATTCCTTTTTATCTTTTATGTGCATTGGAGTTTTCTTTGTGTGTGAGTCTGTGGGAGGGTGTTGGATTTCCGGGAACCAGAGTTGCAGAGAGTTGTGAGCAGCTAGCTGTGTAGGTGCCGGGAACCGAACCCAGGTCCTCTCAAAGAGCAGTCAGTGCTTTTAATCGCTGAGAAATTATGATTGAAATTGACCTGGATTTTCTAGCGTCTAATATTCAACCTTGTCCATGTCCCCAGTTTACCTTCAGATTTAAATAACAAATAAGAATGAGGCTTATGTTTACTTCAATTTAGGAACGTTTACTCTATAAGGGAAAGCTAGTTTCCATGGGAAGAAAAAGTCAACTTGCCCAGTCACCAACAAGCATCAAGCAAGCATCAGACCAAGCTAATTTGCCTCCTCCATCATCGGATACTTCTTTGCAGCATTGTTCTGCTCTGGCCTCTCGCTGCCTTGCCTCACACTGAGTAACTCACCGAACACTGGTTTTTTGTTTTGTTTGCTTGTTTGTTTTCCTTTTGATTAGACAGCTTAGGTATCACATTTCCTTGTACATTTTATACAACGGCAAAAAATTATTTCGGTTCTATTAGCTTCCATGGATAAAATAATAAACGCTGAAGTCTTCAAGTCATGCAACTTAATTCAGTCTATAATTTTCTCAATGCTGAGCAAGTTAATTCCTGTCCTGGCAAACCGCTCTCTTCTTTTACTCAGTTTTAAAGCTAGTGGTTTTTTCGTTTATTGTTGACTGCCATCTAGTGGGTTAAACTGTTCTTTCACAATAGCCCATTAAATTTGAGTGACTTATTTCTACATGGAAATACTTACCGTGTTTGGGTGCCTTTGCTTTTGCTGGCTGCTGTGTTTAACACAACTGATTTGTAAAGTTACTGGAACATTTTGATGACGACCCTTGGAGCAATCAGTATAAGCAGTATTGATAGTACATATTTTAAAAAAAAATCACATTCGAATAAGGCTCTCTCTGACAGCTTTTGGCTTTTGGTAATTAAAACTGGTATCTATGTAAATTATCATTTTAACAATCAGTTTTTTCATTAATTATGCACGCTACCTACTTTTAAGACGTTTTTCTCATATTTCTTTGCAGATGCTACAACTGTGGTGGCCTTGACCATCACGCTAAAGAATGTCGTCTACCTCCTCAGCCAAAGAAGTGCCATTACTGTCAGAGCGTCAAGCACATGGTGGCAAACTGCCCGCACAGAATTGTCGCACAGCTGCCCACCAGTTCTCAGGGAAGACAGGAGGCAGAATCCCAGCTGTGCACTTCTGCTTCGCCCAGAGAAATGGGAGGGAGCCATGGGTGCACGTCACCGTTTCCTCAGGAGGCAGGCGCAGAGTTGGCAGAGCCGCCGTCAGACAGGTCACCCCAGGAAGTTTCTTCCCTGAAGGCACCAGAGGAGCAAAACAAAAAGGGGCCTTCAATTCAAAAACGGAAAAAAACTTAATACTGGTCAACCTTCTCTTCACCCGGTTGGGAAGTCTACCTCATGCAAGCACAGGGGAATAGCATTCCACAGACAGCAGCTGACCGGGTTCTAACTACTGCTGAAGAACTGGGGGTTTTTAATCAGACAAATCACTCTTAAGCAAATTACATTTAAGCAGGGTGTCAGGTTTTACAGACTTGAGATACTATATATAGTATGTGTACAAGTGAAAGGGGAGATGTGAGTATGTGTGTGTGTGTGTGTGAGGATTTCACATAGGAGTGCAGGCATATACGTACACGTGTGTGTACGTATATGCCTGTCTTTATACACGCATGTATGGCGATAAGAGCACATACTCCCACGGATAACTGGGTATCTCCAAGCATTGAAACTCCATGTGAAACAATTGAGATGGTTTCAGAATTAACCCTTGGATTTTTTCCTAAATACCACTTCTTTTATATTGCGTAAAAATCACCTCCTGACTGTTACCTTTCATGTGAACCAAAGCATGCTCCAGATCTCAGACTGCCAATCAAATGGTACTAAAGGGTTTGGGCTTCTCCGTATCTCCCAGTCTGGATTCATGACTGTGTCCTGGTGCTGATGGAGTGTTTTGCTGTTGCTGTTATCTGTCTTCTGTTTGAAGGCAGTAACTTAACTCTCGAATGCCTCTGACTGCCATAAGCTTTTAATTTTTGGATACATAACTCCAGAAAAGACCATGAATGTGAAGTTTCTGGGCTGATATTTCAGTACCTTTTATTCTGTTTTGATTGTAATTCACATGCCTATTAAGAAAAATGAAGGGGAGGGTAATGTATACATATTGTGCTGTGACGCTTTCCAGTGGTGTTTTGATACCAGCTCTTTTACAAGTGTTTGATGTGTTTAAGGGACTATGGCAACATAAGCCTCCCTTGGCTAAATAGCTTCACTGAGAACAGGAAGATCTCCGTACTTACTACTGAAGCCTTAGAGGAAAGCTCATTATTCTTGTATATTTTGGTGGCTGTTTTTATCCCCCTCCCCCCATAAAGTCCTCAGACTGTTTCTAAAACAAACAAAGCACCACAGGAATGAAGAAAATAGTGGGGTCTAGGATGAAAATCAAGTAGATGCTCACAACTGCCTGACAGATATAGCCCGTGATTGATACTGAAAAGATCAGTGTTTAGTGTCAGGCAGCTAGAGTGACCAGCACGGAGCAGAGTTACCAAGTCCCCCACTGCCATGTGGCTAGAAATACTTTCTACGATAACATCGACGCCATGGTGGATATCTCGAGTATAGAAGCTGAAGTAACCTAGTTATGGCTTCAGGATGAGCATCCAGGGCTTTTGATAAGAATCTTCTCACATGGATTCTCAGTTTGCTCACAGATTGGTTAGGGATTGATCAGAGTATAGGTCTGTTTTCCATCATGTTAAAAAAAAAAAAAAAATGGAGTTAGCCTGGTTCCAAATGTGATGAGCAAACTTTTGAAACATTTCCAAGGTACCAAGACTTGCAGTGCATAGTTTTGGCAATAAGTATAATTTTATATGGGCCTGTTGGTATAAGCTCAGATAATCAAACAAGAAAGCATCCCTACTCAAATGAGATGCAATCTACTGAGGAGTTCCTCCTGTGTGCCAGGCCTTTCCAGGTTAGCTTGAATTTCTTGACAGTATTTATGAGAATTTCCATAGTGTTTTATTGCTGCAATGCAGAACTTACTGTTGACGATATTGAATGTGATGTAGCCATAGAGAAGTACTGCCTTGCCTTACATGGGGGTGGCAAGCTTATTTAAATTATATAGACAAATCAAAGTGTCACCCAAGTTACCATGAACAAAACGACAGTTGTACGAGCAAAATATGGTAGGTCACTTTGAAACTCAAACCAAAGTTCCTTGACTATAGAAATAGGAAATTAAGGGCTTGAAAATTGGAAATTCTGTTTACACATGAGCATTCAGAGCTGAGATCTATTTCAAAATGTAGAAAATTCTGGACACTTGAACTATGGACCTTATGGGTGCAGTTGACATTTTTCAGCATCTCACCAGACTGAATTAACCTGTCTTATGGTTAAAAGTTGGGGTTTATTTTTTTATATGAAAATATTGTCACTATTACATGCTCAGGACAAAGAACTATGCTCAGGGATCACACAATATAATGTTTTTATTGTTTCTTTACAGACTCGTCTATAGTCCTGCTTACTCAAAACAAGCCAAATAAATTAGGTCTTTATGTACTTGTTGGCAACTACCTCTGAGTTTGACACTGATCATAATTCTGAATATCAGATATCGGTCCTCCTGTTTTGATTTCATGTAAAAAGTCTTGTAAAGCCAAGTCCTCCCCTCCTCGCAGATGTGAATTCCCTGATATGAGCACACTGATCATTCACACCAGTGAAACACTCTGTTTACAGCAAACAGCTACCTCCTCGCTACTACAGTGCACACCTTGCTGCTGCTATTGCTGCTGTAGCCTCGTACGCTGCTGATCATGCTCTGGTACAGACAACTTGGACTTGTAGCACAGTTTCCAGAAATAATAGGAGACTTCTCATGTTAGGGAGCAAAATCTCCAAGCATTTCCTCAGAGTCATCGTGTGTTTTAGTTTAGGGATGATAGGCACTCTTTATCCTAGGCAAACAACACAGAAACAATCTTGAAAATAGCTCTGTTGCCCAGAGGTGGGTGCAGGGGGGCTAAGGGGAGCAAACGTGGTGTCTGTGCTTTGCTGACAAGTGCTATCAAAGATTCCTACCCCCTTCACTTGGATCTTTACTGTACTGAAGGCAAATAATACTGCACGTTGCAAGCCTCAGGCTTGTAACTAACCAGTACCAGCCTGCCATGGAGGGGACTTAAAAGTGCAGTGCCACTCTGAGCCAGGAGGGAAAGGGGTCTGTGGAGCACCATTTTTTCAGGGGTTCCTAATAATGGGGTGATGGTCTATGAATTGAGCCACTTTTCAACCTCCCCCTCATGTCAACACAAATATAATTCCTAAAAAGGATGCACTCCCAGCCTTTTAGCCTGTGAACTTCTCATTCTCTACACAGCAGGTCATAGTGGAGACGTTTTTATACTTGCATTTCTAGTCTTTGGATGTATTTTTACAAATGAAAGATTTAGGAAGATTTTTTTTTTTTTTTAAATCTGCTTATAACTTGGAAACTTTGGTGTGCAATCTAAAGGAAAAGATAAAAGACACCATGTTATTAGCTTCAGGCCACCTCCCAAATATAGGATGTTTTTTATTCCAATTATTTTTATACTCTGGCTCAGATTTAGTTTGCACCAGTGCAGGCCTGAGTTGCTGCTGGGTGCGTGTAGTTTGTGAATAGAAGCCCCCAAGTGTTAATAGACTTGTAACATTCACTGTAAGATGATTTAGCCTGGATGTCGGGAATCTCATTAAGTCTTGAAGTTAATTTAAATTAATTTATCTGTCTTCTCTAAGAAATGTTTATCTTAAGATATATATGTAATTTCACCTTTGGTGTAAAACCCAGGAAGTGCAGCTGTGCCGACTTTAATTTTCTAGATGTCTTAATGAGATTTATGTGTTTTAGAGGAAGAACAACTTGTTGAGAGCATCCAGTTCTGTCTTACATGGTCTTTGAGATGTACCTGTGTGAGCTGTGACCTAGTTGTTTTGTTAGAGTGAGATAGTGCCCTATGACTCAGTGGGCATCTTCTGCTTGGAACAAATCCTGTGCTATGAGGAAGGGTTCCTATACTTAATACACCTGTGGCTTCAGGCTTGTCAGTTCCCAGCTTGAAAGTGATGGCGTTGACTACCTCTTCAATCACTTACATTCATTAACCACATTAACCATCATCAAGCTGGCTTCAATTCCTGTACATTGATGTTGTGATGGTAACAACTCTAGCCATGTAAAGACCAAAGTGAACCCCGATTTCTATATGTCTTTAATACAGTGTTTTACCTAGTATTTTAAAATTAATCTCGTAGTGCTTAGAATACCTCAATTCATTTTGGTTCATGTTGTTTACAAGCGAAAAATCTTCATAATACACTTGAACTGTCATTGCAAAGAACAAAAGAGGAGTTGATATTAGACCGGCACATTGCATTCGGTCACCTCAACGGACTGCTCTGCAGACATGAGCTTAGGATTGTCTTTTCATGCCGAATGTCTTATTCTGTTAGCTATTGATGTTTTGAGGTTTAAAATGACATGGCAGAAAATAAAAGATATAATGTTGGCATTTATGATGGGTTTGGAGGTATTTTGTGTTGATTTGTATGATTGAGAAATTAAGTAAATGGAGAAAGAGCCCTTTAGGAGGTATTACCACCCAGGAGGGTATGAGGTAAAGGTTTCTGCATGAACTGCTAATGGTGTAAACATGGAAGTCTTTCTTTGGGGGGGGGGGCGTGTCTTCACCAGGGTTGTCCAGTACTACCCAGCAGAGATTGTACAAACTTTTAAATCAAGACATAGCCTTTGTGTCATCAGAAAGAATGTCATGAAGCTTATAAGAACCGTTTGGAGAAATCATTTTAGAATATTCTTTAGGTATTTATACATACATACATACATACATACATACATACATACATACATATATCTTAACAATCTTTATTATTTAGCCCTTCACTGCTCACCACACACAGAGAAAAGGTTATTTGTAGCGGGTCACTCATTCTGTAGCTTACGTGGGGGAATGGTCCAAGTAGAACTCATGTCAGCTGCTGGCACTGTGGAGCAAAGGGGGACCTAGGCACACCCATAAAGGTGGCCTCACCCAGGGGGGTTGATTGGCAGGCTGGAAGACAAAACTCTCCCAAAAAAGGCACGTTTACGGGAGATGTCGCTGGGCGGAGACTGCTTGCCTAGTATGCAGATGGTTCTAGGTTCACTCTGCTGTACCATAAGCACTTTCAGTGGGGTTAGAGAATTGGCTGGGAGTGTTTTGGCAACAGGAAGAGGGTTTCTTGTTTGTTTGTTTGTTTGTTTGTTTGTTTTGAAACAAGGTCTCACTGTGTAGACCTGGCTGGTCTCAAACTCACAGAGATCCACATGTCTCTGCTTGGATCAAAGGTATGCACCACCATGGTAGGAGTAGGTTTTTCTCTGTCCGGCCTCACAGCCACACCAGCCCCAAATAACACACAGAGACACTGTATTAGACATAAAGCTGTTGGCCTGTTTCTAATGTTCCTTATTGGCTGGCTCTGTCTTAATGATTAACCCATTTCTATTAATCTAAGTACTTCCACGTG